ATGATCCCAGAGCCATGCATTTTAATTATGTTCACATTCTCAGTGGAGTCTACAAATATAATAAACTATATTTTCAGGGACTTACTAGTGGAGATTTGTGTATCTTTGAATTTATTTCCCCTAGCACATATTTTCTCTTGATAGACATATATTGAGAATTTTCACTTATGTAAACAAGGTCTAGAAGTCTAAGCCAATCAGCAACCTCCAGCTGCAGCAATTTGTTCAAGGATGAACACTCTTGTTCCATTCAGAGCCCATTAGACGCAATGTGGTTTTGTACTGGGAAAAGAATTCTGAGTCTACAGGAAATTTGGGTGAGGATGGACCCAATCCAGAGGAGGTGAGATTAAGAGGTCAAGAAAAAATGATATGATTTAGGTAATACTTACTTTTAATACAAAATGATGGCAATGCTCATAAGGTCCAGGCATTGTTTTAATTACTACAAACACAAATGTACTTATTTCTCTAAACAAGCCCATAAGGTGGTTACTGCTATAATCTTGCTTTTGTAAGTGAGGGTAATGAGGCACAGAGAAGTTCTGAGCCTTAGCTAATGTCAGACGGTTAAGGGAACAGGACCTCGAAGGCAAGTGATCTCTCTAATATCTATGCCCTTAGTCATCATGGAAAGGTCATTCATTACCAGTTTTCCTGGTAAAAGAATGCTTGCTATGGCCTATTTCAAGATATTAATATGATATCATGTGATTTAAAAATTTTTCCTTGTTGGGTATGATGGCATACGACTGTAATCCCAGCACTTGGGAGGCTGAGGCAGAAGGATTGCTGCAAATTTGAGACCTGCCTTGGTTACAAAGTGAGCTAAAAACATGCCTGCACTGCATAGCAAGTCTTGGTCTCAAAAAAAAAAAAAAAATCCCTCAACTTCTGGGAGAATGATAGAGTGGTGAGCAGCAGAGAAAAAAACGTATCCAAGTTTTGCTGTCCAGACCCTGGAATATAGCAACATGAGGAAGAGAAGGAGGAAAGCAGTGGACCCAGGAACCATTGGACCTGAGACTTGAAACTCATGCAAAGAGATAATTCAGGAATTTAGCGAAAATAAACCCAGGGACATTGGCCCTGCTGGAAGGGGAGAAACAAGACGGCAAGGCAGCCCCAACCTCTGCGCACTGGTGGAGGTCCTGCCAGCTGGGGAGAAGCAGCAGGGAAGCCATGCCACCTCCTTCTGTGTTAGCAGAGGCCTTCTCAGCCAGAGAGGAGCACCAAAGGAGTCATGCAGCACCCGTGGGTGCCGGAGGAGGCCTGTCAGCTGAGGAGAAACAGCGAGGAAGCTGCCTCTGCCTCCCAGCCCACCCTCACCCATAAGCCACCAGACACCACACAGGCTGAGAGGCTAGTAACTGAAGCAGGGAAGTAAACCGACATTCGTGCTGTTTGATTGACTTTGCAGGTCTGGGGCTGGTAGTCTGGGCAACTATTTAGAGGAAAACAATATGCAATATAGCAATGATTGTTTATTTCTTACTGTCCTAACACTATTTTGTTTTGGTTCTTTATACTGTTCTGTTTTACTCCCTTTAAAATAAAAAAAAAAATTCCCCCCAAATTTAATATTTACAGAGTTGGTGTGAGCCAGTTCTTGATACATCACTAGAGTTTACATAAAACCTCCTCTCCATAAGAATGTACCTCTTTGGATAGATAATGTTTCTTTTGCTTTAAATCATTTTGGCTAGATTTCCTGCCATTTGTAATTTTAAAGTCTGAACTGATACAAAGTTGCCTAGATAATATTTTCACATAAATTGCTGTTTGTCGTATTTTATGAGATGTGATTAAAATATACGGGACATGGTTAAATGGGATAAAAGGCATGGTGCCATTAATCATACTCAGAATACTCCCCTGTGCTTTGAGCACCTTTATCCCATCTTTCATGCCCCTGTCTGGAGCAGTTCTGATAATTATCTTTTGTGAGTGTCTTTAGTTGTGGCTCTCTCAATGGCTTGAACGCAGTTAAAACTTTTACATTTCTTGCTCATTTCAACTTTGGGGAAGAGCTAGAAGTAAAACAGAACCAAGTCCAACGAATGAAGTAGATGAGGATGCACTGTTATATTTTATGAGCCTATCTATGCGTTGGATGGCCCTTAGCAGTTGCATTCTCTGTAATTCTGATTTACCTTGTAAGGACCAAAAAGAACTTCAGAACTGTTTCCAAGAGCAACAAACTTATGGCACAATTGTGTTCATAGTGATGGAGAGTATTTTTCCTTTTTTTTTTTTTTTAATCGATACAAGGATCGAACTCATGACCATGTGCTTGCAAAGCAGGCACTTATGCCGCTGAGCTAAATCCCCAGCCCCAGGGAGAGTATTTTGAAGTGGTTAATGGCAATGCATCTTTTATTGTAATACATGTTTAAAAATTAAATCTTCACCATATTTTTTGATCACACTTATCATCTCCACAATAATTTCATGAGATAGGTACATAACTCATAAGGTTCCTTACCTTACTTGAACTAAGGTTTGGGAGGGGGAATTAGAGATTTGGTCTATGCAGTATTGGCTACATAATTTTACCAGATCCAGCACAATATAAAAAGGTGGGATTCTTTGTTCAAATGTTATTGAGAATTTCAAGCTGGAAATACTATGGTGTTAAACTATGTCAAAGTCCTTCTGAGACTGAAGCTCCTATGTAACTTCAAGAGTCACAATTCATGAAGGTGGCCCTGGGTCTATATTACTCAGCAGGAAGGTGGCAGAGATGATGGCTAATCTCAGATTCAAAGTTCCAAAGTCCAAACTGCTCTCCTGTGCAATAAGGGGTCCACAAAGACATTTCTCATACTTCTATGCAGAATTTACTTAAATTACTACCATACTTTTATTTTGTATTGTTCATCAATTTCAAGTAAGCACGTACATCTATGGTTAATTCCAAGACTCCTGTATTACAACATTTAAATTAGATTACCAGCATGCCCAATTTCAATTTCTTATTTAGGTTATTTTTCCTTGGGCAACATTAGGTAGAAGTATAGCCATAAGTTTACTGAGCTAGTTATATTGCACATTTTATACTTTTTAGAAAAAGAAAATAAATCACAGTTCACATATTAGATTTTTAATCATTCTCCTTGAAGTGCTTCCTTTTCCCTTGCCACACATAATGACAAAAGCTTCATTTAAAAAAAAGGCAACGCTATACGTCATGTGAATTTTAAAAGATTATTAAGTACATTTTTATTTCCCACACAAAATTTCATTCCCCAGTTACCTCCTTTCTCACAGAAAAACACAGTCTTAAGTGTATCAGCCTCCAGTAAAATTACAACCTTTCCAAGTATCAAGCTCCATCTGCTGAGATATATTACTTAGCTTCTCATGTTTGAATATTATTATAGCTCATGACAATATTGGTGATATATGATAATGAAGGAATGAAAAGGGAAAAATTTTATGTAACATGTAGCAGTTGTATTATGTAGTTTTATATAACATCTGGGTTCCAGTATTCAATTTTTGATGATTTTAAAGAAAAATAAAAATTCCCACAATAAACAGATTCGCATTTAATCTGTGCAAAACAATCAGCAGATAGTTTGTCATGAATTACCACCTAGAAGCAAAGCTCAGTGTATCCACTGCTTTCAATTTTTGTTTGTATATTGGCTACTCTAGGCTATTGAATTTTCATCTGTGTGTAAAACGTGAGACCCTCAATAGGGTATAGTCCAGCATGCCTCATATAGCAAAATGTTGCAGGTATATAAGTAAATCTACAAATATGTTTAAGGACAATTTTCTAAAATTTTTAAAAATAATTTTATTTCAGGTACTGGGAATTGAACTCAAGGTCTCCTATATACTTGACAAGAACACCATCACTGAGCTATACCACTAGAGTTTTTTTTTTTTTTTAATTAAAAGGAAAAAAAAGAGAAAACAAAACAAAACAGTGTAAGGGTACAAGTAATACAGAATTACAAAAAAAAGTAAGAAATCACTACTTAATAGATTACATAATGTCATCTTAGAAATAGTTGTTCAAGTTACGGGATTAAAGCATACAAAGTGGACATTCAAACGGTGAGACTGCAAACAGTTATGTTCAATGATCTGACAAAACTTCAGTAATATGGTCATCTATCTTAACACACCTAAACACACTGCAGTTGTATCCTTTAGAGCACTTTCTTTTCCTTTCTTTTTTACAACAAAATTTACACATTTTGGGTTTTATTACTCCCATAGTTCTAATTACTTTTTTTTTTGGAAAAGAATAAAACAAAACATGACAAAACAAAGCAGTCAGTCAAAACAAAGGATAGACATAGCACATGATGTAAGAACAGAGTACAAGGTTATCAACAATGGTTACCATAATGCTTCTTGCTTCCTTAAAAGAATTGCCTATATCATTAGGTATTAATAAAGCTGAACAAAACAGTACAGAACAAGACCAATAAAACCTAAACACTGTAAACGTTACAGGACTTACCACTAGAGTTTTTTAAAAAAAAATATTTGTGTATATGGTACTGGGAATTGAACCCAGGGCCTTTGCACTCAGCTACATCCCTAACCCCCTTCTTTCTCCCCTCCCCCACTATCCCTCCCTCCCTCCATTGCTTCCATTCTCCTTCCTTCCTTTCTTTTTTTCTTTCCCTCCTCTTTTTTTTTTTTTTTTACTTTGGGACAGGGTCTCACTGCTTGTTACATTGCATAGGCTGGGCTCAAATTTGAAATTCTCTTAGTTCAGGATCTCACAATGCCAGGATTATAGGCATGCACCACCATGCTTAGCTTTTAAAATCTTTATTTTGAGACAGGGTCTTGCTATGCTGTCCATCCTACCCTCAAACTTGTGATTCTCTTGCCTCACAAGCAGGTGCCATTGTACCATGTGTAACTTTTAAAATATGAATAATGATCATACATTTTCACCAAAGAAGGGTAGTTTGTACTAGTGAGAGAAGTTCAGTCATACAAGATTTGTCCGTCACGCATAGTGGTGTTACCTGCTCAGTTCTGTTCTGGTGTTGGTATTGGAATCGAGAAAATGTATTACAGGAAGAAGTAATTTCATCCTTTTCAAACTGTTTCTTCACCTTGGCCAAACCACCAGGCACTGTGCACATGCTGGATTCCTCCATCATCTGGGATGATTTAAGAAAAAGGAAAATTAATCTTACATCTAAGAGAATGGAATTCTCATGTTTATTTTTGTGATTACTGACAATTACTGATGAGAAGTATATTAGAAATATACACAATCATTTCAGCAGCTTGTACTGAACTCCTTAATAAAATTACTCTCTCTAAACTGAAATTAGAAGAATTTTCAAAATACTGATTTAATTCTCATTTCAAATAAAATTTGATGTCTGGACATGATATCTATTAAAATAAATTTCCCTAGTAATATATTATCAGAGTAGTGGATATTAGAGTAATGGGTTGAATTTTTACTCACAACTAGTTGTTAAAATATAAAGCATTTTTAAGCAAAACATTCAGAATAATTGTTAAAGTCTTTTTGACTCCAAAGATTATTTAAATTGTGAAAGATGAACAAAATAAAGTGTTGCAGAACATTGTCACTGAAATTTGAATCACGGTTGTTTTTCTTAATCCTTGACCTCAAAGAACAGGTAGAAGAACACTGCACCATTACTCCAGGAATGGCTCATTCAAGATGCCTCTCTAAATTCTCACTGGAAGTCAGAATTGGGCTTTAACGTTAGGAAGGTCTGGTCTATTCTTATCATCTTACAGATGAAAAAACTGATTCTGTTACATATCTCTGGAAGCAACTTGCAAAACAAGGACGAATACTGTCTAATCTTACGCCCTCACAAGCAGTGCAGGAGCTGCTCAGGATTTTGCTTTTGATGAATCAGTGCACCCCACAGCCCAGAAGGCACTCAAGCCCAAGTGAGATGACAACTCTGAAGCAAGTGGAATCCATGCCAGGTCCCTCTCCAGGAAGCTTCCAAGTCTGCTTGCTGCTGGGAGGAGACACAGCACTCTGCAAAGCACAGCAGGTCTCCTGAGGTCTGGTGCAGTCCTGATATAACCTTGGAAACCTTAAGGCCTTGAAATTGGAGGCCTGGGAGCTGAGGTTCCCAAACCATGAACTGTGGACACCTGGGATCCTGGAATATGCAATTTCTCAATCAGATGCTAAAAATACAGCATTTATTTCAGGATTTGATTCTCCTACTTCAGAAGTTTGGAGATTGAACTGCTATGCAGGATTATCTGAAACTTGTGAAGACTCAGATGGCTGAATTTTTGAGCGAATAACCTTTCCTTATTTCCATGGACTGTCAGATATTCCAGAAAATGCTGTATGTAAAGAAGAGATATAACTGTATGTTTCTATATACTAGATAAATATTTTATCAAATTCTACAACATACTTAAAATTCTAATCAATTACTGCAATTCACTACATGAAAGGTCATAAGAATGTATGACCTTTTGAAATTCAAGAAAGAGTAAAGAAATGGAAGGGTAAATTAAGGCTACAATATTTCACTTATCCCATTAATTTACATAAGGGATGTCCCTGGATAGATGATATACAGATTAATATAAAAATATAAAAAATTATGGAAATTTAGGTAAATATTGTCAAGAAGAATCTTATTGTTTCAAACAACTATAAATAGTGTAAAAATCACTTGCAAATCAATCTGATAAACCACGTTAATTATATTAAGAACTGGATACTTTCCCAGTAAGTGTATTTTCAGAAAAACATCAATTATCATCCTGGACAAGTTTCCTCCCTTCTACCACATTAATTAAAACCCTGATATACTCATTTCTCTTCTTTGGCCTTGCTTTTAGGAGCTGGACCACATTACACAAGAAAACGAGTGTACGGTTGGTTATTTTTCATAGCAGCCCTCACCCTGCTTCTGTTGCCCTTACTATCTCCAGACACAGCTGCAACACATCCACTCAGCTGAAAGAAAGGCTCTGAGATGTGAGTGGTGGCAGTAAGGTGTCTTTGGGCTCAGCTTGGACAGCAAGATCTACCCAGGAGAGAACACAGCACTTGCTAAAGAGGCATACACTGCACCTGGATTGCCTCTGCCTTGCTCAGATGAGGTCACTTGTATGAGTTTTGTCTTTTTAGTACTGTGTTTTAATCACTTTTCTTGTAGCTGGGACAAAATATCCAAAGAGAATTTTTTTCTGGTTTATATTTCAGTCCAGAGTCAGCTGGCTCCAAAGTAGTATGGCATTGCAAAGGGAGGGTGGGGAAGGAATCCAGGAAACAGAAAACTAAAGGAGGAGCTGGGGAGGCAGATGGCCAACTTTTACAACCAGAATCCCACCTCCCAACAACCAGCCAACAATAAATCCCTTACTACCCAATCACATTTCAAAAGGTCCACCTCTGAGTACTTGAGGATTTGTGGGGATATCTAAATATAAACCTTAACATTCTGCTTCTGGCACCTGAACGGCTTGTGCGTATCTCTTTATGCAAAATGCATTTATTTCATCTCTAAGAGTCATCAAAGTTCTAACAGTTCCAGCACTGCTGAAAAATACAAGTCCAACATTTCCTCTGAGAGTTAAGGGAGGCTCTTAGCTAGGAGCTCCTGTAAATTTCAAAAAGAAGTTAAACACTGCCAACATACAATGACACAATGTAAACATTTCCATTCCAAAATGGAGAAGTAGTGGGATAGAAAGAAATGAGAACAAAGCAAGACAGAATCCCAGCAGGGTAAACATTAGCTCCATGTCCAGAAGCTGGCAAAAAAATGTAGTGAAGTGGAACTCCAAATGGCTTGGGTGATTCCACCCCTACAATGTTGTTGGTGATTTTAGCTCATGGGCTCTCTTTTGGTCTGGCTTTGCTCACTCCATTTGACTTCTTTCAAACATTCCATGTTCCCAGATTATCCAGTTTCTTGGAGTCTCTTTTGCACTTTTGGCTTCACTCTCACAGCTTCAAGGGCACAGTGCCTGTCATCCAAAGTCTTTCTATGATACCTGGGTGAAAACCTCCTTAATCCCATAACTATTTCATTGTGCATGTATACAAAACCAGCACCACATGGATGATACCTAGGTTTGGCACTAGCTCAAGCAGTAGCCATGCTCCCTTATATGATGGCTGCAGAATCTTCCTAGTGCTTAGACGATTGAGCGCTGTGAATTGAATCCAAGAAAATCAATTTGCAGGGCAGCTGTTGAGCAGTGTGCCTGTAGTCTTTCTTCTCAAGGCAAAATCTTTCACTTTTGAAAATTTAAACCCGTAAGAAGATGAGGCCTTGCTGATTCTTGATATAGCCTTTAACCATTTTTTCTGATATCCTGATCCAAAATACTTGGGTTTTATTTTTCTTCTCTTTTTCAGAAATCGAGCTATTCCTTGCACTATCTTTATGGGTTCTTTCTTTCTGGAAAAACTGAAAACTTTTAAAATGGTTTTTTTCCTCCTACTTTTCAGTATAAATGTGACTAAAAGCACCAAACAGTACCTATGCCACAACACTAATGCTGGGCTGCCTTGAAATTTCTTCTACCATATTAATTTGCTGACTGGCCTTATTCTCAATTTTCTGCACCAGTTTAAGGACATGAAAGAAGCAGACAAATTTTCTGTCAGTATTTAATAATATACACGGTCTGGAGTCTGTCAATGGAGCCCTTGTTTCCATCTGAATACTGTTGAATCTAGTCTTTACAATCTGCACTTTTACCAGCATTCTGGCCTTCTGAGCTTTGACCATAATCACATCTCAAGTTCAGTTTACAGCATTTTCTAGCTCCATTTTTACAGTACCAAAATCTGCTTCAGTTAGAGTTCAGTTAAAGTTTAATATGAGGTATATATGATTATATAAAGGTTTAGAAGGTAAGGTTACAATGACTACCTATGAAACTAGATCAGAGGTGAAAGAATACAAAATGGCAGTCTGTAAGCTGGACAGCTGGAGGACCCAGTCAAAGGTCACATCTTGGAGCTAACTGCAGAGACGGGTGGTGATTCCATGCAAAGTTAAAGGATTGCTCCTGGAAGCCTGGAGGAGGTGAAGATGAGTATCTAAGGTGATGGTGAAGACAGGAACTTCTTCCTCCTCCTTTCTCTTTTTAGTCCATTCAAGCTACAAGGCTATTGGTTTAGAGTGGGTCTTCCCTCCTTGATGTCAGTCACCTACAGACACAGCAGAGCTTTGCTAACCAGCTAGACAATTCTTACTCAAGTCAAATTGATATATCACAATTAATAAGCCCATAGCATATTCTAAATATCTCAATTAACTTATTATTAATGACCACATAACTGAGACTGCTTTGTGCCACATCTTTTTATGTTTATCTTATTCTGTTTCTTAATTTTTGGTTTGGAAATAAGATTTGGGGTCTAATAGATAGGTCAATAAAACAAAATAATTTAAATACCCAACACTTAAATTTAGATAAATATATTGCCCAGATATCCATTTCTTTACAAAGAGCTGTTGGCCTAATGGAAATAACATAAATTTGTAAATTGGATGGATAGTGATTCTAATTCAAGTCCTAACAAAACCTTGGGGTAGAGTTCCTAAATCTTCTTTTTATAGGCTGGTCATAGCAACATATTTTACACTGATATATTGTATTAAAAAGATAAAGGAAATAAAGTAACACAGCACAGAATCTGACATTTTAATTCATTGCCCAACGAATATTTCTTCCACTGTCCAACCAAGTACTATTTGATTGGATATGAGATAAAGAGAGATTGATCTTTGCTAGCTATCTAAACATGATTAAAATATCTTAAATTCAGTTTGACTTTAAATCCACGAGGGGCAGATTTTGCACTTAAAATAGTTAAATTCATTGCTTAGACAGAGATTTGTCACAAGTAGGTTTGATAATGTTTTGTAGGGGGGATTGGACAAAATTTTCATGCACTAACTAAGCTAAGCAGGTGCATTCCTAAACAAAGCAATTTTTTTCCTTGTATATATTCAGCAGGAATCCTGTGAAATAACAGATATATTCTTCTTTATCACATTATTAGTTTAAAGTCAAAGAAAATTGGATATTTTTAAGGCAAAAATGCTGTCTGTATGAGAGGCAGAAACTAAAGTCATTAAAATGTTACTGATGATGAAAAATTAGGAATTTACCTTGACTTATTGTCAAGGTAATCTCCTAAATGTAATGTTAACTCAAATTTTTGGCCAGTAAAATGGCCATAAAATAAGGAAAACAAAAAGTAATGAAAACATTTTATGCAGATGATTTTCAGATCAGCATTGATTTTTAAAATTTCATATCAAATAATAGAATTAATTTACCTATTTGCCCATTATTAGCCTTTTGTATTTAATACAATTCATGCCAATATATATTAGTTTTAGGGCATATTACATGAACAATTGGCAGGATGTAAATCTTTCTAAATGAAAGATGGATTACTAAACAATCAATCTTTAACCAGAATAATCAAATAAGCTATTTTCCCCAAATCATTTTTTTTTTTCAGATTGGAAGATCAATTTGCAATAAAATTCCTGTACAATCCAGCAGGGGGTGCTCTCTAAGAAGGCTGGCAGGCAGCATACTGGTTCTATTTGTTTTGCAAGTGACTTGTGTCAGTTCTGTACACTTACTCCAAATCACTGGTGTGTCTGCAATGTATTTTAATGACTATGTAAAAACTTAAATGTCATATAGAATTGCAGCATTGTTAATGAGTTTGGCACAGTCAGCCTTGTCTCTAAATAATTTGTAAAGAATAATGTTGAGTAGCTATTTTGAAATACTACATTTTGGCCTCATTTCTCTCTCTCTCTCTCTCTCTCTCTCTCTCTCTCTCTCTCTCTCTCTGTCTCTCTCAGATGCAACACATCTAATTTAGTGAATATAATTATAAAAGAATATTGTTATGTTCCATTAAGCTGAAGGGCACAGAATCCAGAATCTAGTAAATTTTTTTGAATGTGACTTTATTATGTGTTGGCTCTAAAAATTGGTGGTCTTTCTGAATCCTGCAGTTTTCTATAATCATAATTGGTTTTGCAGATGCCTACATAGCTAATCTTTCTCATTTCTATGTTGATTAAGCCTCTCTTAATGGATTTAGTGCATACAGAGAAAAGCAAAAGAAATTATACTGCCAGAGAATTTCAAATGAACCATATATGAGACTAAGGAGGGCAGCATGCAAACTCACATTATTAAAATTTGAATTTAATTTCAACCTTCCTGAAGAGAACAGCTATAGGTTAAGTTATAATGATGACACTAATAACACATTTATACAGTGTCTTATGGCTTACTTATAAATTATCTCCTTGATTCCTCATCAAGACCCTAGGTGGTAGGTGATATTACCCTTTTTCAGTTAATGAAACTTTAGTTCAGAGAAGGGTTAGGATAGTGGTTCAAGTTCATATAACCAACGTGTAGTTTGGCTGATGGTTAAATTCAGTGGTCTGAATTTGATTTACAATATATTTGGCCTTTTTTCACTTTATCCCACTGCCTAGTATTTATTATTCTTGTTCGCAAAAGTGAGAAGAGTCTTTGGACAGACAGAGGCTAAAGAAAAGCTTCAGCTTACATTAGCCGAGAAGCTATGGCAGTCGCCCCTGGAAACAGCTGCCTGGTACCTCGCCATCCGCTCCTTCAGCGAGACCCCTTCCTGGAGATCTGAGGCACTCACGCTCCCAGCTGCACTGCGCTCCTGCTCAGTAGGGCCAACAGTCCCTGAAAGAGAATGGAGCATGCTCAGTTATGTGTCAGGCTTGATAAGTAAGTATAAACACCTTATAAACAGGAAGGCATTTAAAAAACCCTAGTATCAAAATTCAGACTGCAGTATATCATTTTATTTTATTTTATTTTGATAACTGACATCAAACTCACGACCTCCCTCTTGCCAGGCAGACACTTATGTTGCTGAGCTGAACTCCCAGTCCATATCATGTTACTTTTAATGTTTTACAGTCACTCTCTTTTCTTCAAACTTTCAAGCAAAGCTACCAGATGATTGTGTAGAAGCAAATGCTTATATAAACATAAAAAGTCCCTCCTGCAATTATTATGATGGGAAATAGCTATTTATTAATAGATATGCAATGCTAAAAATAAATATTCCTCAAGTATTATGTGTTATAGTTATGTGAATATTCCAAGTATTGTCTACATTACTTCTCTAGCAGCTTCATGAGATAGGTGTGATTAGTCTCTCAAGTGTATTTAGGAGGGAACAGAAGTTCATAGCAGTTACACACTCCATGACTGCCCAATTCCCAAGCTGCAGAGTTGAATGTGCTTAGACTGAATCTTTAGCAAGTCTGCAAATTTAATTCTTATCTCAACCTCTAACTCTGAAGGTAATAGATTTAGCTAAAATATGTGACTACTGCGAGAATTATAGACCATGGAATTTTTTCTTTTATTTACAGAGGCATAGGTTACATAAGAAAAAAGTAATCGTATTTTTAAAATGAGCTTTGTCATAACTCATTGCAGAAAGCCTGATAGTTTCCCATGTAAGCCATCCACCTGACAAAAATAGAGGGTGGCTGCAATTATACAAGTGGAAAATAGTGAAAGAATATTTGTCTGATTACAAAATAATAGTAGACAGAAAGTTCATAGAGATCGGTGAGTCTAATTCAATAGAATTCAATCCTTTTAAGCATAAGGAAACATATGTCTAAATACTTCTTAAGGTGAAAAGTGTAGGGAAATGCTTAGAGAATATAATTATAAGGACCCTCATGTTTACCTGATTCTACAAGGTTATTTAGTTATGTATGCCAAGACTGGTTTTGAGACTAGATATCCTTGTTCACATTAGAGCTCCTTGTTATGTTATCATCTCCTTTTGGTTTACTATTTAGTTTATGTGATTTTTATTCCAAAATCATTTCAAGAGCTCTTTCTTGGGCCAATCAGTGATGGGCAAGGAGTATACACACACACATTTGTGTGTGTGTGTGTGTGTGTGTGTGTGTGTGTGTGTGTGTCTGTGTGTGTGTATATTCATGTACTGTATATATTCTCATCCATCCATGTTCCTGCCTTTCACTGTTGTGAACAGTAGTGCCTGATATTCATGGGGTAGGACTTTTCAGCATACTTTATCTTTTGGATTGGTTTGATACAATCACTGTGAACCAAAGTCCAAACAACAGATAGTAGAAAGCCAGATCACTCCCTGCTTCTCCTCAAACCTCAGCCCCACGCTGAACCTTCTTAGTGGATTGTTTGCCTTTTTTATCAATATCTTCAAAGTTCACATATATAATGATAGTTGAGAACAACTTTTGTGGCTCAGAAAAAATTCAAAATTATTTTCATCTTGTTTCATAGAGATTTCTCATTCAAATAATCATTTTCACATACTTTAATTAAAATTATAACACTTATTTGGAATGTTATCCAAAATGAAAAATATAAATGTGAATGTTATTATTGCATAATAGTGATAAATTCTCAGAAATAAGTATTAGCTAGCTTTGAGATTCACCTTTTATCCACATTTCCTATCCATACAAAAGCCCACTATTTCAATTGATCCTGGTAAAATGAGAGTCCCACAAATCTCTAGGAGGCTTCTACAGGCTAAAGAAAAGATATTTATATATTTCCATGTGGATTATCCACCTACCCAGCTAATTTTATATTCAACTGTACTATTTTTACTTTATCATGAATGAACTCTATATAGTTTTGATTGAATACATCCCCTAAAGTTTTTATACATTAATAATCAAATTTTATTTTGTATACTGTTTAGAAGTGTTCATTTATTTATATTGATGGATACTCATCCTATTTATTTTTGCTACAATTTGCACATAGTATTTATTTTTCAAATACTAAATTCTTATCAAATTTCAAGGTATTGGAAATACCGAAGGTTATGGTTCAAGAAATCAGTGGCTTCAGCATTAAAATATTTGGATCCATAACTCAGACATTTTAGTTTGGTCATAAAGAAAAAGACTCAACATTTTAATGTGTCCTCCCAACATTTTATTTTTATTTTTATTTTTCTCACTTTTCCCCCAGTCGTTAACTCCAGACTCTTACAGGGCCACCCAGTTTAAAAAAAAAAAAAATAACCTGTGCTAATGAGCTGTATCCATATTGTTTTCTAACCTTCTAAATCAATGTGTGTCTGTTTCTTCCTGGGGAAACAAGGCTATGATTCCGGTTTAGTTTACTCTAAGGGAGTTCACCCACATCCTCCTAACTTGGTGCAGATAATACCTGATGTAAATGTTTGGGTTGACAGGATAGCCCTTCCCTTAGGGATTCTGGGAAAGAAGACGGCAACATGAAGGATCCAACCTTATAATGCCCATTTTAAAAATTGTGGGTGAATTTGAGTTTGAGGAGCACTATCAAATGAGTTTAGAATGTTTTTATTTTAAAGAGAAAGGACACAGGAGAACGAATGAGTATGCTTGCTGTCATGCAAAACCTATGGCAACATAAGGAAGGGTGAAATCAGTGTGCAAACATAAGAGAAGAGAAAAAGCTAAAAAACTCAAGTGCTCCGTGGAAAGGAAAAGAGGAAAAATAAATTTTTCAGGTGATTATTTTGTTTGAAAGCATTATAAATATTAATATTGTGCAATGATGCAAGTTCCCTGTCTCTTGAGTTTGCAAGTAATTCATTGTACATATAAGTAAAAAAAAAAAAAAAATCCAATGACATTCAGTAGACTCCACTAAATTTCCAGTTAAGAGCGTGGCTGTGTGTCATGGTTTACACCTAGACATCTCCCTAGAGGCTCCTACTCATTTATACGTGGGGCTTTGGGGAAGCAACTGAATCATGATTGTGATACTCATCAGAAGATTAGTTCACTAATGTGTTTATGGCTAAGTAACTGGGAAGGCCGGTTAGAGGAGCTGGGTCACTGGGGGCCTGGCTTGGAGGTATCATTCTCTCTCTCTCTCTCTCTCTCTCTCTCTCTCTCTCTCTCTCTCAATCTCTCTCTCAGCTTCCGGCTGTCATGCTTCGAGCTCCCTCTTCTCTGCATCCACCTTCCTTGGAGCCAGCCAATTATGGCCTGAAACCTCTACAAACTGGGAGCCCAGATAAAATTCTCTTCCTCACAGTTGTGTGTCTGGTCAGTATTTGTTTTACCCATTAGAAAGTCACTCATTCACTGTTTAGAATCGATCACCCACCAAGTACAGAATGAGTTTATGTATTTTTTGTTTTACAAACATAATTGGCAGGTCATTAAAAATAGTCTTTGTGAAATAAAATATATCCTGTGAAGTAGAAGTAGCATATAGGTAAGTAATTTGTAAGAAAATGAAATACTAAAAACTACAAGATGTTATCGTTACAATAGTTAGATATGAAAGATAGAAATTTCTTTTATAAAAATTCTGAAATTCTTTTATTTTTAATTCTAAAAATTCTTTAAAAGGTATTTATTGATAGTTCTACAAAAGAGGTTTATTTGAGAAACTTATACAATCTTAAGAAAACATTTAGTATGCATAAGATTTGGAAATTCTTGTAGAGAAAGATTTATGTTATAATTTTTTAAAACATAAGTACTTGTGTAATGCAAATAAATCCAACTTATTATCACTACTGTCATTCTCCTTCTTCTTAGTTTAGTAATACTAAATATTAGTATTTCAATACAAAGGGTTAAATCAGGGAGTGTTAAACTGTATACCATGGCTTTGTATTTTGGTTTTGTTTGTTTAAAATTTGGAAACAGTTTCTCTGAGCTGCCCAGGCTGGCCTCAGACATGCCATCCTCCTGTTTCATTTTCCACAGCTGCTGAAATCACAGGCTGTTGCCACCACACCACATCTGTGTCATTATTATGTTTTAAAATCACAAAACACCACGTGACTAGAATTCTACCTTCCAAGCCTCAACCTAAAATTCTTTCTACTATTAAAAAAAAATCCTAAATCAATCAATGAATAATATTTTCCCAGGCACATACATTGGCTGCATGAATTTTACTTTCTATGGAGAGTACATGTTCAAACCACTTTCCAAAAGCACAAGGGTACAATATTTATAAGCAGAATCATTGTCCTTTTTTGAAAATTTTTCACACATCTGCAATCAGTCATAGAAGTGGCTGTATAGTTACTCTTCTGTGTTTCCTTGGAAGTGATGCAATAATAACTCCTCGATGTCAAAGACAAAATAAAGAATAGTCAGTGTAGCTAACATACCCTGGAATTTTCTAATTTTATAACATCTGTTATTTATAAGAGAATTGGTAACAAACACAGACTGATATCACAAGATATTTCAGAAGGGTCACTGCTGCATAACATATGAATCATGCTAAACATTTCCTTCAGGAAGTTTCAAATTTGGAATTCAGCAGCTTATAAAGATGATATGTTCATACAACATTAAGAAATGACAAGTCTATTCTTATATCTCATAAACAACTATCTAAAATTCTGAAATGAGTTATAAGCGTGGCCCTAAGAGCTTCACAGTGTAACAGTTTGGTAATAAATGTCATCAGCTTGATAGAGAGACTATATTTCTCAAAAATAATGTCAGAATAAGAAAAATGTCAGGCAGAAGATTTCTAAAGTGCAAGGATCACAAAACCAACTACTTTGTCACTAGCTTATTTCTAAAGCCAGAAACAGATTTCATCTTTCATCTGAAGAGTCTTGGTAAGCTGCTAAGTTGCCCAGGACTGAATTGTCTGTCCTCCTGCATCAGCCTCCCAGTGTGCTGGGC